AGTCTGTACCCAGTTTGTTTGACAGGTTTAAACACTTGAAGGCTTGACTGTGGCCTTCATCATTGTGCACCCATGTGACATTCATTTTTGTCCCTTTCAGAGCTGCAGCGTCTCCTGATGAGCAAGTGCTGTATCATATAGCAGACACTATGGGATAGAGCCACCAACGGGAGTCCTGCCTTGCCTTTGGGACTAATGGTAAATATTCAGAACTGTCATTTAAGTATTATAAAGCATTAGCTACCATGCTATCACTTTTGATGTGGAAGGAGAGCACAGATTTAATGACATGACATTAAGAGGAATGATGACAGCAGGTGCATTGTTTGGGGATGGGCCTCTGTCTCTGCATGAGGCTCTGCTCAGGTTTCTCCCAACCTTTCATTCAGTTATTGTAGCGCAACCCACATTATCGCTCCCTCCCACCCCAGCACTCAGTCAGCTGACCAGGTGATGTGTCTGGCTCAGTGTTACAGTGCTGGTAGAGGAAGTCTCTGTGCCTGCTTGTAGCTCTGCGGGTTCTGTTTTAGAGTCTGCTGCTTCTGAGTTGTCACAGAGCATGGCCCAACGAGAGTGGCCTGCCCTGATCCAACAGCAGGGCAGGCCTAGTGCAGGGCCGCACATTGGCATACTGACACCATTAGGGGGGCTTTTGGGTATGCCTTTTGCTTACATTGTTGATATGCACTAGTGGAGCCTGACAATAGGCGACATGTTTCTCACAGGCTCAAACCCAGATAAACCTTTAACTTGGATTACATTGCCTTGTCCTGATGAGGGTTGCATTTTGGCTTTGCTCATAGGTTTAGAGATTAAAAAATGACCGCAATTTATGCTGTAAAATATGCTGTCAGTAGGTGCCAGTCAAGATGGGAAATGCAACAAATTGAGAGTTGCTAATGTAACTGAAGTTCTATGAATTCTGGGTGACTTCCAGTTCAATCTGAAAAAGTACCATTCCAGAGACGGCACCATTATTTTAATAAGGCAAGCTAACTTGTATTAAGACAGAAAGCATGTGCCAGTTCGATATTAACATTTAGATGTAGTTTAATATTTTTACAAAATATATTCTAAACCAAGCCAAAATTGCAGTTAATTCTTGTTGTTCTATTATGTTTAATAACCAGTATTAAGTTTGACAAAGAACCCTGCAGTTCCTTGAGGCTTCACTCATTATCAAGATACATTTTAGACTGGCAGCATTATATTTATCGATCAATTGAGGAAAAAATGTGTTTTTTAATGCCATTGTGGAGCCCTAAATGCACTTGCTTGTTACTGAGGTCTTCTCAGGGTTCTGTTTTAAACCAGTGAGTTAACTTAGTCAACTTGCCTCGTGTTTTATAAACTGTCACTTACTACAGCTTGTTCAGACACTTGTTACGTTATTTAAGTCATAATTAAAAGTGTGGCACTCACATTTTTTAAATTGCACTCTTTCAAATCCCCATGCTGATACAAAAGTGATTAATGGGTCCAGCCCCAATACAAACTGACAGACTGTGTCCCAGTTCTGTCTGATTGATTGATTTTACAGTTGGTTTTCATAGCAAGGAGCTCCATTCACATCTGACACGTTGGCTCAAATTCCTTTAAACTGTTACTAAACCAGACAAATGGGACCTGGTACACTTCTCTTTACACATTACTGTTTTCCTTGTGTTGTAGGCAGAGCCTCTTGAAGCTGCTCAGCGTGGGGCTGACTGTCATGCTGCAGGCTGACTGAGGGTAAGTAGCAGAACCACTTGAACCGTGTTTTTTTTTTTTTTTTTTAATATGAAACGATCATGTTTCATGCTGTGATGACTCAATATAACACATCATGCTGACAAACACCGTGGTGAAGCATAAAAGCTCTGAGCATAGCAGCTGACAGACAGCAGTGATCAGTTGTATGGTTTTAGTTTTACTGATTGCTCTTTTCTCTGCAGGAGCATGTGGAGCAGCTGGCCTGCAGGGAGAGCAAACTTCTGGAAAAAAAAAGAAGTGAGACTGAACCAGGTATCTATGACATCCTGCCAGTTTGCATACAGTGTGTATAGAAACAGTGTAAACCCAATCATGTACTGCCGTGGCAGAGACCTCCTCCTCTCTGCTGTGGAATCTCAGTATTGGGAGAGAAACCTCAGGACTTTGGCACAGATTTAAGTAAAAACCATTTACCAGAACCTGACTGAAGACCTGAAACACACTTCTGTTACAGCCCATTAAACTAAACCTTGGTATGTGCTGTCTGGTAACACTTGTGCTTTGTGTTTCTAGTGTGGTTGGTGTAATCTGCCGGGCTGGTCTGGATGAGTGGATATGTTCCTGTCTCAGTCCGCCTGCTGGGATGTGACTGGGCTGCGGACAGTCATCAGTACACCCCTACGGTGCAACCATGTCTGCAAAACTTGGTTTAGGCTAGAAACAAGTTTATAAATTATGAAGGCATCACCTACATTAAACATCTACATAAAATAAGTTGACCGGTTTTTCTAGAATATAAAATCTGTGGTCTGAACTAAGTACATCTGAAATCATGTGCACATGTTTGAATAAAGTTTAATTGTGCATTATCACAATGGTCCTGTTTGGTGATTGTCATTAGTTTTTCAGAGTTGACTCAAGGCTTAGAGCTGTAGGTAACTTTTTTTTAGCAAATATTGCATTATATAAAGATATTTGTTGTAGCAGTGTCCTGACAGTAATACATGAGGCAGACAATCTGAAAAGAATCATGCTCCTCTGCCTCCATAGTTCTAATAGCATTTGAAAGAATCATGTTGACAACCAATCAGAGCCTACGAGTATTGAACATACCTGTCAATAACTGCTCATTAACTGTAGTCAAACTAGGAAACATTGAACTGTTCAGCAGTAAAACCAGAGTTTGCTTTGGCTGATGGGTGGTGCTTAGTTTTTAACATGGCAGCTGCCATAACAGAATCTTGAGTCATATTTGACCAGCGCCTAGTTTGCAATTCACAATCAGTGATTGACAGCTGCTTGTAAGATGAAGAATCCCAACAATTTATCTGTACAGAATGTAGGATTTAGAAAGTAAAATGGACTTTTGAAGGTACAATTTAGGCGACAATACCATTAAAGATGTAATTAGATTTTGAGGGGACAGAGTGTCAGTGTTTGATTGGGTGACAAAAGAGAAACCAGTGCAGACTATCTCAGTAAAATCTTCAAAAAGCCTCCAGCAAAGCTTCAATCCTCAATGCCTATGTGCAGTTTCACATAGATTGACCACATCAGTGAGTAGAAAAACGTGGGACAGACAGAATGACTGACTGACAGAATGACACACTGACAGTTTCCGTGATTATGTACAGCATACCATACCATGACTTAGTCATACCAAAAATTAGAAAAACAACAACATTGGGCCACAGGGGGAGCCACAGCGATCGGTCGCATTTTAGCCATTTTGAAGCATTTTTCTGTTGTTATAGCGCCACCCAGTTGCCAATTAGAGTTAAATTTCTCCAGTCACCTTGAGGCGTCCTGTTCTACATATCTACCAAGTTTAGTAAAAATCCATATGGCGGTTAGGCCTAGATAAGAAATTAGCTCTCTAGCGCCCCTTTTTTGTTTGATTGGGTCAATAATGGAGGGTTTTCCTCAGATTATGTGTGGTCATATGCCTACAAAGTTGCGTGGTGATCGGTGAAACCCTTGAGATGTTATACACCTTTATGTGATGAGCCACGCCCTCCGCAATATTCATTGCCTTATAGAAGCTAAGTTTTAGTAAGTTTTCCAACTTTTGCCAAGAGGGAACTTTAGATATTGGTCCCTAGATTATGTTCACAGAGTTTCATGCAGATCGGTCAAACTTCCTAGGAAGAGATCGATTTGAAGTGTTTTTCAAAAAATTCAAAATGGCGGAAAATCAATATAACTGGAAGTTATGGGTTCTTGGGGCAAATTTGTTCCTCATGAAGAGAGGCACCTCTGTGCAAAGTTTCATGTCTCTACGACATACGGGGCATGAGATATGCCCATTCAAAGTTTGCAATTTCAATTGGTTGGATTGACCAAGTCAGTGAGAAGAAAAACGTGGAACACACACACACACACACACACACACACACACACACACACACACACACAGAGTTTTCGTCATTTTAAGATATACATTAGATGCCAGTATGTGCCAGTAGGTGGCAGTGTGGTCACAGACAATGGTCTTGAGATGTATCTGTTGTGGAGAACATAGCTTGCGTGTCTGCACAACTCAGCAAAGTCTAATAAAACTACACCAGACAGTTAATATAAAGCCTGTGAACAGCGTTACTTAAAACACATTATTACTATTCTCATTTTCTGTACACGAAGCAGCACAGTTCAGATGCACAGAACTGAGTTGAATGTAATCTGAGTACAATCCAGTCCATTGATGCAGGAAAATATTTAATCCCTCCAATAAACCAATATTGGCTTTAAAAAAACACTGTCTTTACTGTCTTTTTAAATTGCTGGAAAAAAGAGTAGAAAGCCTGACAGGATGCAAAACCCCTTTGGGAAATGCTAATAGGGCAGCCCCTACAGGTCCGTTATGTCTAGCAAACCCCATCCGAAAATAGAGACATTTAAGCCTAATTACCTTGCAAACATGAAATTATACTCTTTAGTTACCAAACAAGACCTTGTCCAAATAAATTATACCAACACTTCAATTCGGCTCGTATATAACCTCCTGAAAAGCATTATAGAAACGTCACTTTTAAAAATGCTACTCGCCATATATGAGGTGACTTGTAGTGGATTTGTGGGGACACTGCTGGAAACAAAACATATTAATTTAATTTTCATTGGTGCATGTCGTGTTAACAGTGTGTATGTAAGTAGAGTATCATAATAAGTTCTTTACTGTGATGTTTAAAGCTAAATGAGAAAACATAAAAGTCCCAGATTTTTGAAGGTAGTTTGGCAGGACGCTGTGTGTCTGCGCACAGATCAGATGGGGTTTGGTTTGCAGGCGGAGGCGGAGTTTTCTGCCCCAAGTTTTTCAGAGTTTTGTGTCTGAGAAGAGCAGTGTGATTTTTAGGGGGCAAAGTGGAGCAGAAAAAGGTAAGACATCTGGTGCGATATAACTGTTATTCTAGTCAAAGTAACACTGTCAGATCTGACGCGCTAAGTCTTTGCCTCTAGCAGAGCTCACACTGTGGAACGTGACTGTCAGTAAAAACGCTTGGTTGGCAAAAACGAGTAAGACGGATGTTTTTATCACGAGTTTTAGCCTCCTGTCCAGCTGCTGTGACCCTTCAGCAAAGGCTAGGAGCTAAAACAACGAGGGACAGGTTGTCCACACAAACTGCAGCATTAAATCTCTGCAAAGTCTGTTGGGAAGCGTTGAATATTCTCTGCGACCGAGCAAACAAGTTAGTTTATTGTCTGGTAGTTTATGAATGCTACAGATTAATCGGCTGCAATTATTTTATGTGGAAATAACATGTCCTCAAAGGTGATTATCTCATGACTAGTATGTCTTCATAGAGGGATGCATACTTTTGGTGTTTGTAGTATGTCTGATTAGATTTAGGGACTGTTCTTTACTTATCAGAAGAGGGGGTGGCTGGCGCAGACTTTATTTATTTATGTATTTTTTAATTTGACTCTCCTCCAAACTATAAATATTTTTCGTTAAGCCTCTCTGAGTGACTGGCAAAAAAATACATGGCCCTCCCTCCGCCATGAGTTAGTTATTAGGTTTTTATAATTTACCCTGTGATGTTAAAGTTCAGAGCTGAAGATGAAATCCTGAAGTTGCTGAAGTTGTTTGTTTTTTTTTTTTTACCAGATTTTAAATGAGACATAAAATAAAGTGATTTTAATGAAATATCACTTTATTAAGTTCAGTTTTGGTTATGTTTTTTGTCTGACGAAAGCGTGTGTCACACATGATGTGTCCAAAGATCATAGGAAATTTGAAAATCCAATGATAATTTCTGATTTTACAGTTTCAGATCGGCAAGTTTTAAAAAAAAAATGTGCCAGCTGGTTTGGAAGGCAAGTTTTCCTTAAAAATCGACATTAAAGTAAATACAAAATACAACCATTTAAAGTTATATGCCCCTCCATTAAGCCAAAATAAAAAGACATAAAGGCAGATTTCTACTTGTGCATCAGCTCTATGCAGGGTCTACACCGTCGCCTATGCACGTCGCCTACACCGTTGTGTGCATTTAAACTTGTGCGCTGGTGTGTCTGTGTCACTCTGCAGTTACACCTCTACAACACTAGTTGGTGGCAGGGTTTCTGTGAAGTGCTGTAAAGTTGAGTTGATTCAAAACACACATTAAACATGGCTTAATAGATACAGTTTCAAACACAAGAACACAGATTGGCTTCACTATAACTCGTAGGATTCACAGACAAACCACTTCTCTTTTGTCGGACACATTTTCCCCACATAAACAACATGCTAATGTTATTAGCACAAGCCTATGGCATTTTACATCTTATAAATTAGCTTTGGGGCTAGTAGAGATTTTCTTGACTCATATAAAACCAGGGACAACAGCAACATTTAACAAAGTAACGTACAAAATTCAGCTCTATTACAACTCACAAGGTTCACTGACAAAACAACTGTCTTATACTAAACACTTTTTTCCAAACAGATACAACATGCTAATGCTATTAGCACAAACCTGCAGCATTTTACATTGTATAAATTAGCCTAGCGACTAGCAGAGATTTCCTCTACTTATATGAAGCCAGGATAAATCACACACAAGACTTGGGGCCTTTATTGTCCTCACAAATTATTGTTTGTGAGATAAAAGTGAATAAAAGCTTCCTTTCCACTGAGGGAAATGGTTTTAGCTCACAAAAATAGACAGGAGGTCTATGTCGCCACAAGGTGTAGTTACATTTCAGGGGAGGAGCACATCAGGCTACAGCGTAGGGTATGGCGTCCATTTGACGCAGAAGTATAAATCCTGCTTAAGTCCCACCCCAGTGTTTAAAAACTTATCTGACACATCTCCCCCCCTTTTTGCGCCACCCCTCCTCTCTCGTAAATAATAAACAGTCCCTTAACCTGTGTTCTTTTCACTGGAATGTTGTCAGGCTTGTAAATGGTATAATCAATAACCTCCATGTCCAGATTTCATTTATCTGTCTAGAATGAGGATGTAGTGGCAGTTTGATCGACTTTACAAGAGGGAAGGATTTTGTAGTACTGGGAGGATGACATTCTCCTCAACTATGAACAGTCTCATGACTTTTTTTCCTTCAAGCAAGCAGCTCTTGGATTGTGTATGAGGGATCACCAAGGAGGAAGCCTACATCTTCCTTTTGACACCAGACTTTGGTTTCTCAATAACGTGTTGCAAACCTAAGAAAAGAGAAGTAAACTCAGATTGTCTAACATATGGAGAATTCTGAGCAGATGCTGATACGAATTACTCAGCTCTGGGTGGAATACAGTAACGACATTTTCACTCTGGCGCTCACTGATTTTTTGGCTTTGCCATTAACAAATGTCACGGCCAACCGGAGGGGTTTTGTGAAATAAGAGGAAAACAGTTTGTACGTAGCAAAAGAAACAGCTGTGTAATCTTGCTGTGAAGCTTTTAACGTAGGCTACATTTGAATTGAGTTGTACACTTTGATTCTTCCCTCTGAGGTGAGCTGAGCTGGGGCTTGGTCCACTCCTGTTGTACAGCCTGCCGTCATGGCTCGGTACCTGAGCTATTTCACCACTGTGGGCGATAAGGAGCCGCTCCGGTGGGAGGATGAAGAGTTACACGAGAACAGCGAGGAGCTGAGTCCAGCCACTGGCCAGTTTCCAGTTACGCTGACCTTCAGGGAGTCACTGCAAAGGCTCTACAGCTCCGACCGGTTCCAGGTACGTCACTCTAAGCTTTTCAGTGCATTTGTTAATAGGCAATGTCAACGGTCCATCATGGTCTCTCCACAATGATGTCACTGTTGGAGGAACAGATATGAACAATACCAATCAGTCCAAGGGTGCCGTAAGAATGTTTAGGAACCTCACAGTTTGATTCTGTTTCAGGAGGGCTATGATGCAAGTATAAAACCATTATCGATGCATCAAAATTTTAGAATTCTGTACATGAATGATTGTGGGTGTGACTTCTTCTTTACCATGTCCCTCCCCAAAGCTACAAATATTTTTCCTTAAGCCTCTCTGAGTGAGTGGGGGGAAATACATGACCCTCCCTCCACCATAACATATATATATATATTTTTTTATATTCACACCAAATGTAGGTATTGGAGCTGATGCAACAAGCAACAGCATCGAGGAAGTCATCACCTAAACAAACAGCTGATTACTTAAGCAAAATGCAGGTTCTCCTTTAATATTGCATCATCACACAAGCTGTGTGTGCACTTCAGCAGAATATGGGTGCATGACAGCCACCTGTCCGACCGCACAAAACCAACAAAATTTAATAAGCCTACACATCACACACCTCTGCAAACACACACATACACACATCACAGTGAACACACATTGACAACGTGTGCATATAAAGACAGTTTTCCTAAATAAACCATGACACACACAAAAGTGGTAGCAGCAGCCATAATAATACCTGTAACTTGGCACAGTGGTTGTTACTGGATTTTGAAGTTTAACCCTTTGTTGTTTGAAAGTTAAAAGTTGAAAATAAATTCTTGGGGTTAAAAAATGCCTAGTTTTTATTGTCATACATGCAGGAGCTCAGATTTTTTTTTTTTTGTACAAATGGTTTTCTATGGCAAAAGTTTAAATTAATCATGTAGAACAAAGTGACTTTGATAAAAAAAAAATCACTATTTTAAGCTTAGATGTGATTATGTTTCCCAAAGGAAGCCTTTGTTGTTACGATGTGTTTAAAAATCTGATGATAATTTCTGTTTTCACAGCTTTTAGCAATGATAAACTGTGTAATTTTAGCGATTTGCTCTACCAGGTGAGCAAATGGGTGCCCCAATTTGAGCAATTGTTAAGGAAAACACACTTTCCAAACCACCAGCAGGCTTTTCGGGTTAGAGTGTATTTAAAATGAATAAAAAATACAACTGTTTAAAGTCACATGGTTGTATGTCCCCCTCCTAAGCCAATCTTTCAAGAGAGAATCGTTATCATTTAAGAATTGATTTTTTTTTCTCCCAACCCTTGTTGGTGAAGTCTTCAGATTGCTTGTTTTGTCCAACCATTGTTCAGAAGATATTCAATTTACAATGATACAGAACTCAAAGAAGCAGAAAATTGTCACATATGAAAAGCTGGTACCAGGAAATGTTTGGCATTCTTATTTGTTTTAGCTTAGTACATATGTATGTCCCATTCTTGTGAATGTGATGTATCAGGAACACCTTGGGGTATTTTTTTCTAAATTGGCACAAACGTCCACTTGGACTCAGGGATGAAATGATAAGATTGTAGTAGTCAAAAGTCAATTTCATTTTGGTCTGTCTCATTCTCATGAAAACAATATCTCAGGAACACCTGGAAGGAATTTCTCCAGACTTTACACAAACATCCACTTTGAGTTAAGGATGAACTGATTTAGAATTTGGTGGTCAAAGGTTAAGGTCACTGCGACCTTGTCCATCGCATCCTCATGAATGTAATATCTTAAGGAAGACTTAAGAGAATCACTTCAAATTTGACACAGACGTCCACTTTGATTCCAGGATGAACAGACTAGAATTTAATGTTCAATAGTCAAGGTCACTGTGACCTTGTGCCATCCAATTTCTTAAGCATGATATCTCAAGAAGGCCTTGGGCCAGTTTCCTCAAATTTGGCACTTTGCTTTGACTCCAAATGAACCGATTAGAATTTGGCAGTCAAAGGTCAAGGTTACTGTGACCTCACAAAACAGGCTTTTGGCCATAATTCAGGAATTCATATGCTAAGTATGACAAAAATTTCAAACAAATGTCCTGTAGGATAAAATGATTAATTGATGACATTTCATATCCAAAAGGTCAAAGGTCAGCTTAATGGTGACATCATATTGTCCTACAGAAACACTTTTCTGGCCATTATTCAACATCATAACTCAAGAAAAGAAGAGGAAATATTTGGTCAGTTACAAAATTGGTGACACTAATCTTCGGTGCCCACCTTGAAACTGTGCTGGTTGTATAGATCTTCTTTGCTGTCGGGGGGAAGATGTGTGTGAAGCATCCGTGATTTCACAGACGTGGATATAAACTGTAACTGCAACTAGATGGGTTTGTGGAGGGATATAACTGCGAGCGGTAATTCTAGTTTTACTTTTCAAACAAGAAGGCTTCAGACCCAGCTGACGATGACTCAAGGGACATCACTTGAGGACATTTATTATTAAAAAAATTTATGTCCCTCTTGAGACTTTTTTCACATATGCAGTAGTACTCCATAGCACCTTGGAACCCACTTTGATGTATAGGATCGGTGCACTTGCCTTTAAAGTTAAAAGAGAGGCCCCTTGTATGAATGTCTGACTTTGCTTCCAGGTGTTGGTGGTGTGTTTGGTAATCCTGGATGCCTTTTTTGTTCTGGCGGAGCTGCTTATAGATCTGGCTGTTATCGAGTTGAAACATAGCCACACTGCTTCTGAGGTGAGACACAGATTTGTCCCCATACTCCAAGCAAACTCCCAGACCTTTATGTAATACCATTACTGACACAAGTTTTTTTGCAGGTGTTTCACTACCTGAGCTTGGCTCTTCTCACATTCTTCATGGTGGAGCTGTTTGGTAAGCTGTATGCTTACCGCCTGGAGTTCTTTCAACACAAGTTTGAGGTGTTTGATGGTCTGGTGGTGGTGGTTTCCTTCGTGTTGGACATTGTGGTCCTCTTCCTTGAAGAAGCCTTTGATGGAATGGGTCTCCTCATCCTGCTGCGACTCTGGAGGGTGGCCAGAATTATCAACGGTCAGTAGCCTTTGTCTGAAAGGATGTACAATGAAAAGTATTCCTATGTGTGGGTGAGGGAATTGGATGGGGGTCATATTGCACTTAAAGGGCAATCTTGGAGCCCATTGGCCTTGTAAGATGATGATATAGCCTCTGGGGGCAACATACAATTTTGGGGGTTCCACTGAAGCCAGCAGATATCCAGGCCAAGACTTCCTCTTCTCTGCGTCGGTCATAGTTGACAGTTACATTAGCAACTTAAGACAGATCCAGACAACATTTTGGCTAATTCAGGCATCAACAGCCTTTACTATCAAAAGAGAATATACAATCTGATAATAATGAACTGAAAAGTTGAAACCTTTCAAAAGAGGGGTTTATATACTGAGATTATGTGACACTTAGACTGAACACGGGTGGACTTTATCTAACAAATTCTGTGACTTTTGATGGTAATTGGTAAACACCAGGTCTTATTTAGGGACGTCATAGCAGGGGGTGAATACATATGCATGCACCACCTCTCAGTCTTTTTATTTTTCATTTCACCTCACCAATTTTGACTGTATCGTGTAGTTCCATTGCCAAAAACTTCCAATAAAAATCCATTTAAATTACAGGTTGTAACACAACAAAATAAGAAAAAGGCCACAGGTGAATACTTTTGCAAGGCACTGTAGTTGCTTCACATGGCAATGACTGTGTTTGAATATATTGCAGGTATTCTGGTGTCAGTGAAGACCCGTGCAGACCAGAGGATCCACAAGCTGAAGGAGAGCTATGACCACCTCGTTCGAAGAGTCACAGAGCTACAGGAGCGCACTGATAAACTGGTGATTCCTTACAGCTGCTTCATACTAAATTAGAAAGGTTCACATTTACTTCAGTGAAAAAAGGAGTTCAATGTATCAAGTTTCTTATTTATATTATAATAAGGAATTTATGTATTTGGTGTCTTCAGGGCTGTAGCTACAATTGAGACATTTTGAGGTCATGTGACAACCTGGGGGGACTTTCTGTCCTACAGTTCAAAACTGATACATGGTGGAGATTGAATCAGCTCATTTTGTTGCTTTTAGACTCAAAATATATAAATTTAGCTAATGTATAATAAAGCTTTAGCATGTGACCCAGAATTTTATTTCTGCTCATTAACTCAGTTTTCAAGAAAATGGACGGTATTAAATAATTGATGTAGCTATTGTGAAGTCACCCATTGATTTGGGGACTCCCGTTTTGAAGCCTTGAGTTTGGCATTTTGGCCATCGCCATCTTGGATTTTTGGAGCCTGAATTGACCTTAATTGGACGAGAGGGTGAAGACAGCCCTAACACTAGGTGCTACCTTGGTTAGCAGTGCATCAGCTATGGTGATAATGCTGATGCTAATATTGGTAGGGGTAAACAAGATTAAAGTCATTAAACAATTAAGCGGAAGAACTGAACATCCAACCCCTTAGAGGGTGCTCTGGCACAACTAAATGCTGAACAACACTCTTAGGCAACCAACATATAACAGTTAACTTACATGAACTTACAATACATAGAAATAGCGACAGCTGTAGCTTCACCCATAACCTGTGAATCTGGGGTTACGCCATGGTTACATCAGGCCCCCAAGAAGTGCCCTGGGCATTGGAGCCAATTTTTCATAGTGGCCAAACCTTTTAATTACACTGTCAGGGGATGCCCTGCAGCCCATGAAGACTTTTTCGCATTGACTTACAGTACAGACCAAAAGTTTGGACACACCTTCTCATTCAATGTGTTTTCTTTATTTTCATGACTATTTACATTGTAGATTCTCACTGAAGGCATCAAAACTATGAATGAACACATGTGGAGTTATGTACTTAACAAAAAAAGGTGAAATAACTGAAAACATGTTTTATATTCTAGTTTCTTCAAAATAGCCACCCTTTGCTCTGATTACTGCTTTGCACACTCTTGGCATTCTCTCCATGAGCTTCAAGAGGTAGTCACCTGAAATGGTTTCCACTTCACAGGTGTGCCTTATCAGGGTTAATTAGTGGAATTTCTTGCTTTATCAATGGGGTTGGGACCATCAGTTGTGTTGTGCAGAAGTCAGGTTAATACACAGTTTCCTAGCAGCTATTTGACCATGAAGGCCTGATTGGCGCAGTCTCCTCTTAACAGTTGTTCTAGAGATGGGTCTGCTGCTAGAACTCTGTGTGGCATTCATCTGGTCTCTGATCTGAGCTGCTGTTAACTTGCGATTTCTGAGGCTGGTGACTCGGATGAACTTATCCTCAGAAGCAGAGGTGACTCTTGGTCTTCCTTTCCTGGGTCGGTCCTCATGTGTGCCAGTTTCGTTGTAGCGCTTGATGGTTTTTGCGACTCCACTTGGGGACACATTTAAAGTTTTTGCAATTTTCCTGACTGACTGACCTTCATTTCTTAAAGTAATGATGGCCACTCGTTTTTCTTTAGTTAGCTGATTGGTTCTTGCCATAATATGAATTTTAACAGTTGTCCAATAGGGCTGTCGGCTGTGTATTAACCTGACTTCTGCACAACACAACTGATGGTCCCAACCCCATTGATAAAGCAAGAAATTCCACTAATTAACCCTGATAAGGCACACCTGTGAAGTGGAAACCATTTCAGGTGACTACCTCTTGAAGCTCATGGAGAGAATGCCAAGAGTGTGCAAAGCAGTAATCAGAGCAAAGGGTGGCTATTTTGAAGAAACTAGAATATAAAACATGTTTTCAGTTATTTCACCTTTTTTTGTTAAGTACATAACTCCACATGTGTTCATTCATAGTTTTGATGCCTTCAGTGAGAATCTACAATGTAAATAGTCATGAAAATAAAGAAAACGCATTGAATGAGAAGGTGTGTCCAAACTTTTGGCCTGTACTGTACATTGTGAAAGAGACATCTGTAAATCAGTGGATACATTTTTTTGAGAGTCACAACCTGTGTGAAATGACTCATTTCACTATTAGGATTCAATTAATTCAGTTCAGTAACAATTGGAAAGTCTAGAAGAGCCACATGATTGAATCATTTTATCCCCATCCATGTTAGCGGAGTGCTAATCCACAAGTATCCAGCTTGGCCAGCAGAAGTCTCTAATGGGCCTGCTCTATGGGTCCCACAGTGCAGAAGTAGTTCAACTGCCAAGTATAAAATTACCAGGATGATCAGTTGAACCATTTTGGCTTCATGTGCCACTGAGTAACTTTCATAGAAATGAACAGGGCCCCAGCTCCAATGTGTACTCTCTTTACACACCCATGGATTACATTACCCAATCAATGTTGTTGGCATGGTCGCGACTTATCTTAACAGATGACACCCACCTATCACCCAGAGTGGCCACATCCACCCTTAAGCCTTAATATTTAAATGAGTGAGTTATACAAAAAACCACCCCCTGTACAGTTGTCATGAACAGGAAAATTTGCTATAGAGACCAAAACTGTTTTTTGTATCAGGCTGTAAATATGTTTATTTCTGCTGCAAAGTTGGGCACTTTTACATGATCCTCAAAGAGGATTGACTCGCTCTTGGAGCCAGCCTCAAGTGGCCATTAGAGGAACTGCAGTTTTTAATACTGACTTTATTTTTCAGCCCTGGATGTTGCCACTTGGTCAAAAACTAGTTTATTCTATCTTAGGTTTTAATTTTTTAGCACTGGCATTGGTTCTGTCAGTCATGATGACATTGTACTCATTAAAGTACTGGAGATGCTGAGGTCTCAAAATGTGGCAACAACGCCAAAAATAGGTCCAACGGGGGATCAAACTTGCACAGTCAGACCCTCAGACAGGTTGTGCATACTGCACCTTCCCTGGACAAGACCTTGGAGAATCTGGACATGAGTTTGGACTAACACAATTTAAGTGACAGCAGGTGTAAAAGCTTTAGATGAGGTCCAGCAACAAACTGACTCTCCTTTCTGTCTCCATCTACCTTAGGAACAAGAGAACCAGAAACTTCAAGCCCTCCTGAAGAAGCACAGCATAGACTTCTAACTCATCGACCATACTGTTGAGGAGCTGCCATTCAGTGTCATTTTATCATGTATCTTTCTGCACTCTTTTAAACTATACATTCCATGATCAACTTATATTTTAGACCTGATTTCAGTATTCCTTGTATTTGTTACCACATTACCTGAAGAGAAAGCATCTTTTTGAATATATGTATAATATAGTAGATCCATATCCAGGTTTCCTGTCATTATACTGATGGAAATCAGTTAAAGATCTGCATATATGTAATGAATGTCAGATATTCAGATGCTACTGGATATCACTCCATAAAGCTGCAAGGCCATGGCCTTAATTTCAAAGTAAATATTTGTTCTCACACTGATGAATTGTACATAAAATTAATATACATCTGCTTAGTGACATTTAAAAGTACTTTATGTTGTGTAAAAAAATAAATAAATAAATGAATTGGTTTCATTTATTAAAAAACATTTGTTAAATAATCTTTTTACAAACATCCTATATACATTATTTACACAATTTACAGGAACACAATCATACAAACAGAGGGAAGATAAGTCTACATGGAGTGTTCAGACAAAAGGGAAGAAGAAGTCAAAGGGCAGTTTGGCATCGATGGTGGGCATGGCTCTGTAACCAGGAAGAGCGGCAGAAGAAACTGGTATGAAGGTCACAGAGCTCCTGATTGACAAGATGCTGCTGCCTCCAGACAACATGTCCTGTGGGAGGACAAGACAGACAGTAGAAATGATTAGATTGCATCTTTTTTTATTTGTATGTAAAAACCTGGCAGCATTTATGCAAAAGCAAGTCTCACCAAACTGGTGGTGTTGGTTTGGATGACTTCTCTGATGCTCACAATCTGAGCTTGGGGGTTCACCAAGGATCCATATTTGGTCCATTCAATTTCTAAATGAAGTGACAACGGGATGCTGCAACTTTGTGCGTCCTGCAAAACACAAACACTGCTGGATTGTGGACCCACAACATAAAGCACATACTGTGTTTTCATGGAAACACGTACAGTGTGAAAATATACAATATATTTAAAATTCATAAACCAGTCAGATTTGATAATAGGTCCCCCTTATGACTTCTCCAATCAGATGTTGTCAAACTGTGCTCACCCCAGGATTAAAGTTGCTCTTGATTGATACCCAGTCCAGTGGATAGTCTAACGGCGAGTTTCCAAAGGAAGCCACATACAGAGCATGGTTTGGTCCTCTCAGAACATCCAAAAGTACCTGGAAGACCAGGGAGCAGTTGGCAGCATCCTCCAGTCTACAGGGACAAGACAAGCCATCACATAAGTATTACAACATGAGGAAGCACCTGTATCTGTACAGTGATCAGATTTGTTGAGTGTAAGGATGTCCTGCCTTAATGTGCAGCCAGACACAGAGTCCACACCAAACAGGACAGGGGAGCGCCGATGTGGTCCCTGCAGACAGTCCTGGTCCTCAGTACTGTGGAGAAGAGACAGTGTGTCTCTGGGGTCGATGCTTCGAGCAATCCCTGTGATGACAACTATTAAGGACAAACCCTGGGCTTTGTAGCACATCAGAATATCCCCTTTTCATCAAACTCTGTCAAACTACTCTTAACCCTTACTACTACTGCTCACTCATACTGTCTGTAGGTCAAGTTGAGGGAAATCCAGTGTCCAGGGAGGTAAAGGATATTCTGCTGTTTTTGTTCCGGACACAAGAGGTAGTCCAACCACATAACCTGGATTTCCACTGTAGTGGATGACCACCTCCTCCATATCCTCCTGTTTAATACACACAAGATAAAGTACATTACTCACATTAGTCTCAAAACTACTTTTAATTTATTACATTTAAAGTTTGTGCACAATTTATTTATTTTTAGTCAATCAGAGTCTACTAACACGAATGGATAGATTTTCTCACCACCCCATAACAATGTGAAAGGGAAACTTGACTTGCTGTAAGTCTCAAAAATCATTTTGCAGCTTTCCTCAAGAGTAGAGGGTCAGGCAGACTTAAAACCTACAGGATCAACCGAGCAACCCTCATAGCCAATGATCTTTGCTACTGTATTATCATGAGTGTCTGTAGTCTAGGCACAGGCAGCATGCTACGGATGACTACATCATTGGAACACATTCTAAAAAGTTTCACAAATCTGCACTCTTGCATGAAGAAAGCAGATCTTTAACAGAGCTTTCAGTCGTATCTCAGTCTCAAACTTTGTCTCGTCTGACTCGGCTGCTCTAAATTAAGTACCATGGTGAGTGTGTATATGTGAGTGTATTCATACGCAGGCGTGCACAGGGCTGTAGCCAGGTCAAAATGTTAACCAAGGTCTCGTTTCGTTGTTGTTGATTACCATGACTACTAATTCATGCAGGTCAAAATAGCCCAAAGGGGAAAATTCTGTTATTCTACATATTTCTTTATCTCTTCAAGACTTCCTGTACACTCACACCATCCAGACAGGTGCACACAGACTGTCTTTATTGGAAGATCCACATACAAAAGCAGCCCATGGTAAAAGCTGCTGGGGGCCGGACTTTGAGTCCTCAGTGGTAGCTATGGCAGTGGGCAGGTAAACACTGAAGTACCTGTGAGTATATATGTATGTAGGGGCAATAATGTATGTGTTTATGACCAAATGTCGATGTAATCTGTGTATCTGTATGTTTCCCACGTGAGACATTAATATGTAGAGGCTGTGGAATCAAATGTGTTGGTGTCTCTACTATTAGTGTTGGTATTCAACACTTAATCCGAATGCTGTGTAAGACCTTATACTATTAAATTGTTTATTTAAACCAATATGAATGTCGTGAGTATAAAGTAAAAGACAATATTAGGCTCAGCTGTAGGTTTAAAGATTTGTTACATCAGAAATATTACAAACACTTTCACACTAAAGCGCCTGCTCTATCCACTAAGCCACTGACGCCCCAACATTTTATGACTTTAGCCTAGTCCTGTGGTTCCCAAGTGGTCCAGCCACAAGGTCTAAATTTTGCCTTAGTCTTTAATCAAGTTCCACAAAGTTTAATATATTCAGTGTCGTACTTCCATTTGGCCATGTCCTCGAGCCAGGTTGCTGCTGTGTCTGGTAGCTGTACATTATTTATTCACTCTACAGCAGGAGACAGCGCTTCAAAATTTAAGCTTGTGCTGGAAATTTATTCTACTTCAAAACAAAGTGTGTTTTTTACAAACTTGTCACATTCGTGAGTAACATGTGGTCCATTCAGAATGGACCCGCAACCCACTTTTGGTCCATGGCCCATCAGTTGAGAACCACTGCCCTAGTGTATCCATTCATTGCTGCTGGTCTGTTGCCCCCTCGCTGTCTGAGAGGCTTGTTAAAATGTAAACCAAAAAAAAGACAGCTGCCCTCAAAATGCAGTCCAATCCAGAACCAGCAATGACCCCATTCCTCACTGCAGCAACCTTTGAATCATACTGAGCTTTTTTTTATTAAGCCTGTTTTGTAGCTAATACTGTATCTAATCTAACAGTAGTTCTGAATGCAACACAGCGCTCCTAAGATTTCCTTCACTAGAAAACCACCCCTTTTGTGGATAACACTCCACAGTAAGTAGACAATTCTTGTTGAGACACTACCTGGACAAATGTGATGTGAAACTCCTGTTGCGGGGACAGCGCAGCTTCACGGACAAATCCAAGCACCAGAGACACCGTCACATTCACTACCTCACCGGCTGGATTGTACTTTATCACATAGGCAACCTATGGACACAAAAATATGTAGTTTGTCCAACAGACAATGACTTCTTCTATTGGCCAGTGTTTTCATTTTATATCTAAAATTTCATTTTATATCTACAATTTCAGTCACTTGTGTGACCTATTCAATGAGTAATGTGGATATAATGATTACGAGGGTATAGGCAAATAACAGAACAGCTACAACCGTTTGGTAAGAATTACATTAGTTTACTGTAATGCAGCCTTTAAAACCAGGAAAAGACAACACTTAAGATGTTACAATGTCCAAAATCTACGGTGACATTTAGTCTCATATCATGATATCAATATAATCGATATATTGCCCAGCCCTACTCCATATGTTTTTACATTGGCAGCTTTTAATCCAAAAATACAGGTAGGGCCCTTCAGAATGTTGTGTTGGAGTGTGGGTGACTCACCTTCAGCACCACATTAGCACAGAGGGTTGGCTTCAGGAGAACAGGGTTGAGGATTTCTCCATCACTCATCTTTAGCTCTGTCTGAGTCCCATCTACAGACTGCAGGATGACTGAGGCCAGCTCCACAGGAACAACCTCCAGCAATGTCACAGACAAACACATTAGTCCACTTTTATTAATATTTAACCCAAATATCTAGCAGATTCATCTTTAGTGTACAGAGTTACAGTTTGTATACTGTCAATGTTACAATTGATTTTATTTCAGTGCATTACAGGAAGCCATTCATTTCCATTTTTCAAAGCTATGTTGTTATAATGAGGTAATTAAAGAGGACCTTTTATTGTCATTTTTAGGTTTACACTTGTATTTTGGGTTTCTACTACAACATGATTACATGCTTTAACGGTCACATACTTTATTTTCCTCACACTGTCTATACTGGAACACCTGTAATCACTCTCTATCTGAAATGCTACGTTTAGGTGCCTATCTCTATAAGTCCCCCTCCCAAAAAAGCCTATTTTGCTCTGATTTGTCACCATTTCCAGATCTTCCTTATCTTGGGGTCTCTGCACCATTACTGTAGCCAGTGAATGACTGTAATGGAGAATAGTGCCGAAACTACGTCAGACAGGATCGTGGGTGGAACGGGTGTGACATTTTGACGACATGTTATATGTGCAACCCACTGCCGGGAGATTTAAAAGGTAGCTGATAGCCATTAGCAGCTAACTCAAATAAGAAGAACAGTGACCAAAAATGTCTGCAAATTTGGAAAACAATGAGATCCAGGAGCTTCTTACCCTCCAAGCAGACAACAAGATCAGCTGCCATATAACAGTGACGGTAAATGGTTGTTATCGCCATGTTAATGCCATTGTTATTGTTTATAAAGCACTGTCGATGCTTACAGTATATGTCACATGTCACACCAAAGACCAATGCTGTTGTATTACATGTCATGCTCATCACACCTCCTTTGCTTCCCTGATCCCAGCATGCAGTCTAAAATCACACACTGGAGCAACATGATGCTGCTGTCATTTGGTTCTGTGTAAAAACGCATAAACTAGGGAATTTGTATCGTCCCTATAGTGTGATCTCTGTGTAACACGTGCTGTTGTAACGTTATACATACATATTGCAGAAAAAAGGAAAAGCATAAAAGGTCCCCTTTAAAGCACAGACTCATCAAAACAGTTTGCAGTGCATCAAAGAAACAGTAAAAGCAGACAGCATCTTCACTGTGGTGGATTACGTGTCTCGATATGATATGACAGATCCAATAGATCAAGATTCAAGTTCCAATTGATT